GGAATGTTCAATATCAAAAGAAAACCACAGCTAGATTTCCAACAGATCCCAAGTCGTGATTTGTCACCAAAGTAAGTCAGTATTTTTAAAAATAAATAACAATAAAACTAGTTTAGTCCAAGTGTTGTCCTCCAGATGTTTTTAGACTACAGCTCCTATCATCCTTGACAGAACATGCTGTCGGGGGTTGGAGGCCAGCAACATTTGGACAGCAGCATATTGGCTTCCTCAAACGAGGTCATGTTTGGTATGGAGAAATATGAGGGGTGCTTTAATGCAAGGCAAATGCAAAGCTAGTTCCAGATCAGATCTCTTAATCCCTATAACCACAATTATATCAATGAAAATCTAAGTTTAAGACAGATGGCAAATATTAGCAGATTTAGTTGGAGAAAGTCCTATTGAGATACATACTTAAGATCACACTTAGGTAATTTTGAGTTCATAGAGCAAGACCACAGAAGGGGCTGTAACCGAGGAGAAAGGTCATGGGGGGAATCATCTGCTTTGTATACAGAAGGTCCCAGTTTCAGTCCCCAGCATCACCAGGTAGAACTGGGAAAGTACACTGTCTGAATCTGTAGGATGTGAAACACAAGAGCAGTCAAGTACAACATTCCTAGAGTGAAGATGTTTACACATGGGGAGGAATGTTTGTCCAGCCATCAGGTAAACTTCCTGTTTCCTTCTGGGCTGGGACGGACTTCCTCTGCATGTGACTAGAGGTGGGTGTGGTCTCACCTGTGCAGGTAATGACAAAAGCACAGGGCAGGGCAGCCATCTCTCTCTCTCTTTCACCACATGCATTGAAGACACAACATCTACTAAGCCAAAGATGCACTCTTGGCTTCAAGCCAAGAGAGGACAAAGGGACTGTCTTCTTATAAGATAGATTCCAAGTGTATGTTACTTCATTAAGCTAAGTCTGCCTTCTGGGATCCGACTGTGAACAGAATGTGAGTAAACTCTTTTTATACTTTTGTAAAAGACCGTGTCGTCTCTTATATTTTATGAGGGAATAAGGGGAAAATACCAGAACAGTTGTTATAGAGGCTTTAGCGAGTCTGAGCAAACTCATCAGTTGCAAAGTTTAAAGTAAGGGGAATGTTACTCTGCTGAAATTGTGGAACTTGTTAAAACAAGTTGGATAAGGATATAATCAGACAATATATCATCTCCTGCATCCCTGAACATTCCCACTGAATCCCTGTAAGTGTAGACAATATTGTCAGTGTAGACAATATTGAGCAGATTGACCAACGGCCTGACTTGATAGATAAGGCAGTTTTCTATGTTCAGTGTAAGAAAGATCTTTGATTGAAATGTCTCTACCTGATCTTAAAGAGAGTCGGGAGGTGTAGGCAAACATGGCATTTGGAACAGTTTTAAATAAATAGCATTTAAAAAGTTTAAACATGCCCTTCAGCATGACCAGGCGCTTATATCAGGACTTAGGAGCTCATCAGAGATACGGAGCAGATACTTACCAGTAGCCCCGATGAAACTGCAGCATTTACACAGCTGCCAATCTACTTAAGCTGGGAAACAAGATTTGTCTTGTCTGCAACCACCACCAGACAACTCCACTGTCCTTTTGTTTTCCTACCAGTCCATCAGTGAAGTAAATCCCTGTGCTTGTCTCCTTACATAAAGTGCCCAGTTTAAAATTCTGGAGTCGCCCAGGAGCAGTTAAATGTAGACGGGTTCAGAAGTTTGCAGCATCCATTCAAGGACCTCAAGGTGTTGTTTGCTTTTAAAAAAGTCTCTGTGGAACGGTTAGCACTGGTGGAGAAGGGAAAATAAGTTTTAATACTATTGTAATAGTAATTTAAGTGCTTGTGTATAAATTCTATGGATTCCCTAACCTGAGCCACACCACCATATTCCCTGTGTTTGAAGACTGTCAGATTTAAAACAATTCTAAGAGAGTCACTGCATACATGAGCTATTATTGTTGATTTCTCCCATCAGTACTCTGAGGCTATAGGGTACATCTCAAATATCTGTTGGACTTCAGGGTGCCTATTCATCACTAGATGCACTTAATGCAGGAGGCTGTTGTGATTTACTGTTGTACTTGTTGCTGAGAGTATGTTTTGTGTTTTATTTTACTTTTATTTTAGGTGTTGTATTCTAAAATGGTTATGTGCTCTGCTCTGGGATGAGCAATGAGAGTGGCTAACAAAACATCTGAAGCTAAAGACCTAGCAGGTTCCTTAAAATAAATAAATCAGTCTCTGGGTTGGCTTAGGCTGTGTACCAATGCACAGAGATTGAGTGGTGAGCCCAATGTGGATCTGCTACTCTCTGCTTTTGGCCAGATGTACATACTTCCTTAGGGACGTGGGTGGCGCTGTGGTCTAAACCACTGCGCCTAGGGCTTGCCAATTGGAAGGTTGGCAGTTCGAATCCCCGCGACGGGGTGAGCTCCCGTTGCCCAGCTCTTACCAACCTAGCAGTTCGAAAGCACACCAGTGCAAGTAGATAAATAGGTATCACTGTGGCAGGAAGGTAAACAGTGTTTCCGTGCGCTGCTCTGGTTCCGCCAGAAGTGGCTTAGTCATGCTGGCCACATGACCCAGAAAACGTCGGCTCCCTCGGCCAGTAAAGCGAGATGACCGTCACAACCCCAGAGTCGTTTGCGACTGGACTTAACTGTCAGGGGTCCTTTACCTTTACCTTTTACACACTTCCTTACAGAATCAAGCTTAGGGCCAACAAGTTCTTTCTGTTTCCAGAAGAAGTTGGCTGTGCACAGTGCTGATTGGCTGGTCCCTGTGACAGCCCAAAAAGCTTAAACCATGGTTTCTTGCTGTGCTCATGGTTTATCATGGGGGGGGGGAGAGCCTTAAATAATGCATTTGGATGTCATGCTATGTGAGCCCTGTTGTGAAGGGAGATGTGAAGTGGGCATTCTTGGGTTGCAACATCGCTTACTAAATGATACCTTATGGAAGTGCTATTTATGAATGTGGCCTTTGTTTGTGTGTAGCTGGTGAGAGGTGACGTGCATAGAAACCAACCTCAAATTCTAAGATTAATAGTTATAAAATGATAGCTCAACAATGTTCATGAAGTCTGAAGCATTAACTTTTGAGCTACATTTTCATTATCTTTGTATTATCTTTTTGCAGTATTGCATATAGTATTCCTGTATTCTGTAAGAGAAATAATTGAACTTCAGATGTGATTCTCTGAAGTGAGATTCTGCCATTCTATAATTACCTGTTAAAGAGGTTTAAGCAGCAGCTAACTATTTCTGTGCTATTGCTGGTCATATTGAAGTTTTCAAATAAAGCAGTGCATGGATCTCCTGCAACAGATAATATTCCTGAAAATAAAGCAGAAACCCTCCTTTATTAAGTAATAACCATATTTCTTGGTTGCAGTTCCAGTACTATTGAAAATGACTTGTATGGCCCCACCTACAGTGTGAACCCAATTTCTTCCACTTTTCCAGTTTAACAATGGGAGACAAATTCTGTATCAGTTTTGCCTCTTTCCTCATGTGTTTTTAAAAAGTGCCACAAGCACATTTACTCATTTATTTATTATCCTTAAACTTGGTGATATCACAGTCAGAAACATTACAAACTTCCAAGCCTACTCCCTTCCCCCGCTTTTCAGAGCTTGATTCAGAAATTTAAAGTCTATTTGTACTTAATGTGATGCTTCCAAAAGCACCACTGAACTAGATAGAATATATGGGCTGCCAAATGTTAACAGAACCTTTTGTCTTTGGAAAAGGGTGGTTTAATGCATACACTGATTTTAAATCAACAAAGCCAATTTGATCCCCAAACAAGCTTTTTATCTGATTTTAGCCAATGAGACAGACTTCCAACAGGGGGTGCTACCATTGAATTTACAAATGTCAGGCAGATCTTACATATTTGCCAGGACAGTTGATAGAACATTTGTACTTTGTTCATCCTGATAGAAAAGGGGCTTATCTGGCCTTGTAGACCTTTGCAGGATGCTTACAGTTGGATCGGCAGGTGGGCTGCCTGCAGGCTTGCCAGAGGCTGTGAGGACAATTTGCTGCTCTTTAATTGGGCACAAAAATAAATCAAATCTCTGGTTAAAACATCCAGTCCAGAGTGTATCAATTTGAAGTTTCTACAGATAAAGTCCGCAGTTTTAGCTGTCAAGGAACAAGCAGCCTAGCCTGATAAACACCACATTTTCGCAGTGCTCAGGTCTCCAAAATGAAAAGCAGTTGATAAAACAAGTTAAGTCCAATTAAAAGCTGTATTAAAACCAAGTTAAAAATCTCATTAATTACAGAGCACTGGTTCAGCTGCTTCCCACATCACCAATCAGTAAAAGAAAGCTGACAAGACAAATAAGCTCCAGGCCTGTTAATTGCTATTGGAATCACAGCTCCACATTCTTCTGTCCTCTGATTTTCAAGATAAGATAATTGATCTAAAACACGTTAAAACCAATTACAATGGTGTGACCTGTGGAGTTTCAGAGGCAGCTGTCTGCCCTGTCGCCATCTGAACCAGAAGTCAAAGTTTCACTGATTTTAGTGGAATTCCAGCCACCCATGTGTGCAATACAGAAGAGCCTGAGCTGGATTGTAGGTTCATTAGTACAAAACTTTCCTCTTCTTTCCAATTTGAGAATGTATGGTGGAAGTGCAGCGCTGGAAATATTATTTTCCTTTTCCTTTACCCCTTTCAAGTAGATGCACTGCCATCAATTTGCATGCCCGCTAATATAGATCTTGAAAATTACTGACAAGAGATAAAGGGGAGAAAAAGTCACCTTAAAATAATAATAATAATAATGAACACAGAATACATCCTTGCAATGAGGTTTAGCACCACACCAAAATGTCCTGGAGCCAGCAGGGCCTGCTGAAGAACACAAACCAAAACACTGCCATCCTGTGGTAGAAAAAAAATATATGGTACCTGCAATGCAAGCTGTCATGAAGCAGGCAACCGTGCAGCAATCATGGCTCTCAAGCCCCGCCGGCAATGTCTCTCTTTCCGGGAAGGTGCCATGGATGCTGAGGAAGAGATTTGAGGAAAACGACATCCACTATCAGTTCTGCCTTCGGATTTGAAGCAGTTCCGGTCAAGGTTTTCCTGAACCTCCAACCAGTGCCGGATTCACGTATAAGCTAAACAAGCTATAGCTTAGGGCTCCATTCTTTGGGGTCCCCAGAAAAATTTAAAGGAAAAAAAATTGGATGTACATTTCCAAAATATAAGATAAAAAGCAAATAAAATAAAACCTGCATACAGCAACAGTGTTTTGTGTTGTGTATGGTGTATACTCAACACAAAAAAACAGCCACAATTTGTTGTTGACAAGGGACAGCTGGACATATAAAGGGCCCCATTACCTTCAGTAGCTGAGGGCCGCAAAACCTAAATCTGGCCCTGCCTCTGACTATCTCTGCACCAGCTAGACTTGACCAAGCAGCCAGGAAAGTGTCCAGTAGCCTCTGGGCCAATTTTCACATTAAAGGTAAAGGGACCCCTGACCATTAGGTCCAGTTGTGACTGACTCTGGGGTTGCGCCTCTCATCTCGCTTTATTGGCCAAGGGAGCCGGCATATAGCTTCCGGGTCATGTGGCCAGCATGACTAAGCCGCTTCTGGCAAACCAGAGCAGCACACGGAAATGCCGTTTGCCTTCCCGCCGGAGCGGTACCTGTTTATCTACTTGCACTTTGACGTGCTTTCAACTGCTAGGTTGGCAGGAGCAGGGACCGAGCAACGGGAGCACCCCGTCGCGGGGATTTGAACCGCCGACCTTCTGATCGGCAAGCCCTACGCTCTGGGGTTTAGACCCCAGCGCCACCCGCGTCCAGTGCAGGATATCTTTGCCTTTTTGGTATGACAATGGCTTCCTTAGGCATTAGCATGAGGTTGATGCATTCTCATGCATCATCCGGAGCCCATAAGTTCTGGCTACTCTTTGTAGATAGCCAGAGTTGGTGATTTTCGTGACCTTGAAATTTCCGCACCTCAGGAGAGAGGTGCAGAGTGTCTCTGACATCACACTGAGCTAGAGAGATGCTTGGAGGACCTCCATAGTACAGCACAATATCAGATGTTATTGGGATGGAGAGGGGGAGGACACACTGGTGGTGAGGCCTGTGCGGTTCAAACACATCAGCAGAGCCAATCCAGTGCTCTTGCTGCCACTGCACACCCTTGCTGCCATCACACCCCTCCCCCTCTCTGCAGTGACTCAGCCAGACAGATGTCAGGTCAGCAGTGCAGTCCTGCCAAGCCATCTGCAGCTGCATTTATTGCAGCAGCAGGAGTGTTTGGGTTTGGATTATTTTTGTCCAATACTGTGCCCCAAACAAGAAGTAAACGTTTTCTTACTGAGTCCTCCAATTACGAGTCCCAAAGAGCCAAAGTTTGCAAATCCACAGAGAGCATAAGTGGCAATGGTTTCTGATCGAATCTAAAATTTGAAGAAAGGAAAACATCTTGCTAGGTTACATCATCTTACCCTTTGAAATGGCAAAATCTACCAAAATATGATTTAACCAGCTTCTCTGCTGTGTGCCTGTGGAAACGGCTGCCTTTCTTTAAATGATTCTCAGGGCCGTCTTAGCCATATCTGGCGCCGTGGTGCAAAGATCCCTCTGGCACCACCTTCCCGTTTCCCAGACCTTTTTTAAGGGAGGATGGTGCTGCTGGCAACACGCCCAACTTTGTGAGGCTGGAGGAGGCGGGCAGCGGCTGGACGGCAGCTCTTCCAGCATGGAAGAGGCGGAGGCTGGACATGGCGGCTCCTGGCTCAACTGGCTGCTTCATGCCATGGTGGCCACAGCAGGTGGAGGCTCCAGGCATGGTGCTGCTTCGGCGCGGCATGGCGGAGGCGGGTGAGGGTGGCGAGCTGATGCCGGGAGGCGCCGCGTCCAGCCTCCACCTCTTCCCTGGCGTCCTCCAGAACTTGGCGCCCTGCACCACTAGCCTCTATGGGTGAGAGGCCCCTGATGATTCTATTGGGTATATACTGTATATGCACATTGTTTTCCAACTGCAAGAAATACAACTATGAGCATATCTTCACTCTTCCCACCCGCTGTTCCCTGTTCATAATAAAATTATACAAGCATTTCATTGATTATATGCTTATGAGTGCCTCCTCATGTTTTAAAGCAGCAATTTGTAGATATTTCTGGTCGCTTCTTGCCTATGTAGAAAAAACATTTCAAGGTCTTTTTTGTCCAACCTTTTCCTGGAAATGTTTGAAAGCTGGGAAGCCTGATTGTTGCAGGCTGTGGGGGTGGACATGTAGCAGAATAGACTTTATTGGAGATATATGCCTGTATCTAGACTTATTAGAAGGCTCTGAGAAAAATTAAAAGTTAAAAGTGAACCTTCCAACCTCTTTTCCACTATGCCGTCATGTTCTTGCTGAATAGTTCTGGAATTACCAAAGCAGAGAACCCTTTATGATGCCTGGCATCGAACTTAGGAAGCACCAGGAGACACAGGGTTCAAGCCTAACCACAACGATTTCTGCTGAAATATGAAGTGGCACAAAAGTTAAATAAATAAATAAATAAATAAATAAAAGTGCTTCATTGCAGTGACAGCACAGGCTTTCAACTTGCTCTGGGTGTAGTAGTGAAATGACCACTTCACCATGAACAGAATGGCAGCCTAGACCCCTGGAAATCATTTCCTGATACTCCAAAATGGCAATGAAAATGGACTGTCAGTTCAGGTTCAGTCTGAAATGGTTCACTCTGAAAGAAAATGTGGCATTTTTAGGCAGAAAGTCTTGGATTCAGAACTCTCAAAGTACTTCCTAGGAAAACGCACTAGCTGTAAAGAAAAATATTCTGCCACTGTCTTCAGATCCCTAGGGAATTGTATTTTGTACCTTCCCTTATTGAAACGGTTCCTGGAGATTGGGGCAGCGATAAGAATTAGCCTAGTCATCTTATCCCCTGCCTCCACATTTGTGCCCTGCTCCCTGTTGCTAAATGGAAGATTATGCTGCTTAGCTCAGATTGGGTGCTGTGAGGTACAGAATTAAATGGGCATTAGAAAAATATTCTGTGTTGCTATAATAACACATGCTTACCAAAGTGGTTTTTTAAAATCAGAAATCAATTTTATTCGGTGTGATGAATGGAACCTTGAGAAGTCTGGGTCAAATAAAAGCAAAGAACTGTGCAAGGATACTCACACTCAGATATTGGTTCTCTCCACCAATGTACTTTTCCCCCCTGCCTTCCTCAGTTTGATCAGTTCTGAAAGATCTTTATAAGCCACAAATTCATTGAAGAAGGTCTTATAGCCTAGAAGTCTACCAACAAGAAAACTGTCTTCCCAGTCGACTCCCATCATGAATGAAAATGGCATAAAGACATAAGCACAAATGACCTAAAGAGAGAGAGAGGGGGGGGAAAGGGTTGATCTAAAAAGCCAATAAATACATTAACCACATCTTGGTATTTCTCAGGGCTTTTTGTTTACATAAAAACAACCATCGCCTCCTATATTCCATTGCTTGGCTGTGGTAACCAAGCTGGTCAGGCTCACAAATGCATCAGTACGGCTTTAGAAAGCAAGTCAGTACACTTGTTTATGTCTAATGCAGTTGTAGGTGTAGTTGATAGTTTAATGAATGCATTGTTTAGTAAATAACAATGAATTCATATTATTTCTGTTTTCGGCTCAAGGGCTGCTTCAGCACAGCCCTTTGGGTGCCAACACCAATGGTGGGTGCTGAAACTACTGTGACCACACAACTTCCACAAGATGTATTGTCTCATCAAGGCACTTCTACAAAAAATTAGCAGCGAGCAAGGCCAGCAATGGTGTTTATGGAGAGGGTTGTGGCTGGTCAGAGTCTTCAGCCACAGAGACGCGGGAGCTGCATTTGGTTGAGTTTCCACCTTGATTATAGTTTATATCCGATCAGGAATTAATCAGAATTTATTTTTTTGACACTCCCCTCTTTATTTCCTTTGAACATTTAATCTATGCATTAAGATTTTTGCAAAAGTGTTGACTGATATTTTTCTTTTCTCATACTAATAATGGATTTGCGTTATGACTGCCGTTGCTGAATACTCCAATTCTAGCTGCTTTTGTTTTTCGTTTATTGAAGTTCAGATTAGCTTTACACCCCTTTCCACTTTTAACTCACACATTCCCTCACAGGAATGTCTTTCCAGGACGTGACAAAAATGTCGTGCAGCCAGAGAAACATTGTGTTCTCAAAGGCTTTTCATTCTTACATTTAAAACATGCCAGTCAAATTACCTTTGCTATTACTTTTTTCTGGAGTAGGAAGTCCTGCGAAATTTGCAAGCATAGAGACCATTCTTTTCTTGTAACAGGGATTTTTTAATATATTTTTTGAGAGACAGATTCTATAAGATTGGTTTTCATTGACTCTGACATAAATAGATACCGTTTTACTTATAACACTTGATTCTTGAGGTATATTTTGTAAATATTGTTGAGGTGTTTGACTCTAGTGAAAAATTCGAGATGTGAATGATTGGCAAAAGTTTAGGAGTCCACTGCGTCCTCGCATGTTACCTGAGACATCTCCTAAAGTGCATGGTACTCCAAGTGCAGTATAGCCATCACTGTGCCTCTAGGGTTGTGAACTGCAGCTCCTTGTCCCTGACCTTTGGCTGAGCTGGTGGGGCTGATGGACTTGCGACACATCTTGGGGTACCGGTTCTCTCCAATGGTGACTTGGCTAAGAGATCTTATGGGAGTCATGTGGGGGTCCTGGCAGATGCCCCACTTCCTGTGTAGTGGCTTAGATGAGCATTGCAAGAGATGGATTGATGATTTCCTCAATGTTTTTATTTTTTCCTCCCTTCCCTTGACCACATTGACCTCGAGAGCGGCTAGTTTAGGGACCTATTTGGGGATTTCAGAAGGTGGTCCTACGTCCGGCCGCCCAACCACCCCGTCTATTTTGTCCCCACCCGTGGGACTCTACACCTGCAGAGCTTTTGTGGGCTTCTGGAGTGTTGGCTGGCAAGCCACCATCTCTCCCTAGAACGCGCTTCTTGCCCCTCGCCGCCAATGCTGTGTTGGACTCAGTCTACTCTTTTATTTGTAAAGAGTACCAGAGGAGTGCTTCCTTTATTGGCTCACCGAACGTAACATTAGAGTTAATTACTCTGTAAGTAAATAGCATATTGTTATTGTATGTAAAACGATGCGTGGATCTTTTTGTACCTATGCAGTATATTATGAGCTTTTTATAAAACAGTTTGGTCACATGCTAACAAGCTCTGCAGTTGGTTCAGAGAAAACCCGGTTTTTACAGTACCCAACATTTTTTCATTTTTTAATTTATTTGTGCAGATTTCATAAAATCTTCCCCGCTGGCTGAATTGAAGAATGTTGTTGTTTTCTTGGTTTGGAATATTATCCCTCGTTTGCACTGAATCTAAGACATAACTTTCCGGAATGTTCAATATCAAGAACCACAGCTAGATTCACAATCCAGTCGGATTGTCCCAAAGTAAGTCAGTATTTTTAAAATAAATACAATAAACTGTTAGTCCAGTGTTGTCCCAGATGTTTTTAGACTACAGTCCTAATCTCTTGACAGAAATTGCTGTCGGGGGTGGAGGCCGCAAATTTGGACGGATATTGGCTTCTCAACGAGGTCATGTTTGTTGGAGAATTGGGGTGCTTTATGCAAGGCAAGCAAAGCTAGTTCCAGACAGATCTCTTATCCTATACCCATTATATCAATGAATTAGTTTAAGGACAGATGGCATTAGGATTTAGTTGGAGAAAGTCCTATGAGATACACTTAGATCCACTTGGTATTTTGAGTTTCATAGAGCAGACCCAGAAGGGCTGTACGAGGAGAAGGATGGGGGAATATCTGCTTTGTATCGAAGGTCCCAGTTTCAGTCCCGCATCACAGTAAATGGGAAAGTCCACTGTCTGATCTGTTAGGTGTGAAACACGAGCAGTCAAGTACACTTCTAGAGTGAAGTGTTTACACATGGGGGATGTTTGTCCGCCATCAGGTACTTCTGTTTCCTCTGGGTGCGGACTTCCTCTGCATGTGACTAGGGTGGTTGGTCTCCCTGTGAGGATGACAAAAGACGGGCGGGCGCACTTCTCTCTCTTTCCACTGATTGGCACAACATCTAAGCAAGATGCATCTGGCTTCAGCAGAGGACAAGGCTGTCTTCTTTAAGATATTCCAGTGTATGTTACTTCATTAAGCTAGTCTGCCTTCTGGGTCGATGTGAACGAATGTGAGTAAACTTTTTACTTTTTGTAAAGACCGTGTCTCTTTATTTTTTGAGGGAATAGGGGAATACCGCAGTTGTTAAGAGGCTTTAGCGGTCTGAGCAACTATCTTGCAAGTTTAAAGTAGGGATGTTCTCTGCTGAATTGGGAACTTGTTAACAAGTTGGATAAGATTTCAGACAATATCATCTCCTGCATCCACTGAACTTCCCACTGCCTGTAGTGTAGCTATTGTCGTGTAAAATATTGAGCAGATTGACACGGCGACTGATGATAAGGCAGTTTTCTTGTTCAGTGTAAGAAAGATCTTTGAAATGTTTACCTGATTTAAGAGGTCGGGAGGTGTAGGCAACAGCATTGAACAGTTTTAAAAAAGTTTTAAACATGCCCTTCATCATGACAGGTGCTTATATCAGGACTTAGGAGCTCATCAGGATGGAGCGTACTTACCAGTGCCCGATAACTGAGCATTTACCATGCCAATCTACTTAGCTGGAACAGATTTGTTTGTCTGCAACCACCCCGACATCACTGTCCTTTTGTTTCCTACGTCATCGTGAAGTAATCCCTGTGCTTGTCTCCTTAATAAAGTGCCCGTTAAAATTCTGGTCGCCAGAGCAGTAAATGTGAGGTTCAGATTTGCAGCATCCATTCAGACCTCAGGTGTTGTTGTTTTAAAAGTCTCTGTGGAACTGTTCGCATGGTGGAGAGGGAAATATTTTAATAATTGTAATAGTATTAAGTGCTTGTGTATAAATTCTATGGGTTCCCTACCTGAGCCACCACCTTTCTTGGTTTGAGACTGTCGATTTAAACATTTAGAGTCACTGATCATGAGCTTTATTGTTGTTTCCCATCAGTCTCTGAGTATGGACATCTCATATCTGTTGGCTTCAGGTGCCTATCATCATAGATGCATTAATGCAGGAGGCTGTTGTGTTTCTGTTGTACTTGTTGTGGGAGTATTTTTGTGTTTTATTTTACTTTTATTTTGTGTTGTATTCTAAATGGTTATGTGCTCTGCTCTGGCATGAGCAATGGAGTGGCTAACAACATCTGAAGCTAAGCTGCAGGTTCCTTAATATAAACAGTTTGGGTTGCTTAGCGTGTACTGCACAGATTGAGTGGTGAGCCAATGTGGATCTGCTACTCTCTGCTTTTGGGCAGATGTACTACTTCTTAGGGCGTGGGTGGCGCTGTGGTCTACCACTGCCCTGGTTGCAATTGGAAGGTGGCAGTTCGATCCCCGCGGGGGTGAGCTCCCGTTGCCGCTCTTACCACTAGCAGTTCGAAGCACACCAGGCAAGTAGATATAGGTATCACTGTGCAGAAGGTAACAGTGTTTCGTGCGCTGCTCTGGTTCCCGAGTGGCTAGTCATGTGGCCACATGACCAGAAACGTCGGTCCTCGGCCAGTAGCGAGATGCGTCCACCCGAGTTTTGCCTGGACTTACTGTCAGGGTCTTTACCTTTACCTTTTCACATTCTTACGAATAAGCTTAGGGCCACGTTCTTTTTTTTCCGAAGAGTTGGCTGTGCCAGTGTGATTGGGGTCCTGTGCAGCCCAAAAGTTAAACCATGGTTTCTTGCTTGCTCATGGTTTATCATGGGGGGGGAGAGCTTAATATGATTTGGATGTCATGCTATGTGAGCCTGTTTGAAGGGATGTGAGTGGGCATTCTTGGTTGCAACATCGCTTACTAATGTACCTTATGGAAGTGCTATTTGTTGGCTTTGTTTGTGTGTAGCTGGTGAGAGGTTGACGTGCTAGAACCACCTCAATTAAGATTAATAGTTTAAATGTGCTCCAATGTTCATGATCTGAAGCATTAATTTGAGCTCATTTTTTATCTTTGTTATCTTTGCAGTATTGCTATAGTATTCTGTATTCTGTAGAGATATTGAACTTCGATGTATTTCTTGAGTGGATTCTTGCATTCTTAATTACCTGTTAAAGAGGTTTAAGCAGCAGCTAACTATT